AAGAGAAAGGAAAGCGAATAGTAGAGTAGAATAGTGAGACGTAAAATGAGAAGGATAGGAGGGGAGGGGAGAAGGGGGGAGGAAAATGAATAAGAAAAAAAAATAACAAACTGAAAAAAAATGTAAGAAATCAATTCATCTGATAAAATTCTAAAATCTTTCTCAGCTGAATATATCACGAATTTAATTGAAAAGCAGAATTAAGTAAATATGAAAAATGAAATATGCAAATATAGAGATCATGCCAACATAAACTAAATTATCAAATGAATACACAATTATTTGATTATCATAATATAATCAAGCACGACATGAAAACGAACCAACATATAAAAAACACATAAAACACCCCAAACAAACAAACAAAACAAAAACAAAACACACGCCATTAACCCAAAACCCACAGTGAACAAACACAACTAAAAAAAACAAATAAGACACACACAAGAAACCCCCTAAAGACTAACAAAACACACAATAACCCCCCAAAAAACGTAAAACCCAAATATAAAATTCCAATTAACACAAATTAAAACACAATTAACAAAAAGCCAAAAATCAAACAAAACACACACAATAAAAAAAAACAACGTAAAACCCAAACCTAATCCCCCCCCTCTCTCTCTGTCTCTCCGCAGATCAAAATCTGGTTCCAGAACCGCCGAACCAAGTGGAAACGGAAGTACACCAACGACCTCGAACTGATGGCGCAGCAGTACTACTCCGCCTTGGGGATTCTCAGTCCTCGGCCCATGGTGGTTGGGGATAGACTATGGTAGGTTGTGGTGGGTTATGGTAGTTTTCGGTTGGTTGCAGTAGGTTGTGGTAGGTTATGGTTGGTTGTGGTAGGATATGGTAGGTTATAGTAGGTCATGGTAGGTTATGGGTAGGTTGTGGTAGGTTTTTAGGTTATAGTAGGTCATGGTAATCATGGTAGGTTATGGTAGGTTGTGGTAGGTTTTGGTAGGTTATAGTAGGTCATGGTAGGTTGTGGTAGGTTATGGTTGGTTGTGGTAGGATATGGTAGATTATAGTAGGTCATGGTAGGTTATGGTAGGTTGTGGTAGGTTTGGTAGGTTATAGTAGGTCATGGTAGGTTCATGGTAGGTTATGGTTTATGGTAGGTTGTGGTAGGTTGGTCATAGTAGGTCATGGTAGGTTGTGGTAGGTTATGGTTGGTTGTGGTAGGATATGGTAGATTATAGTAGGTCATGGTAGGTTATGGTAGGTTGTGGTAGGTTTTGGTAGGTTATAGTAGGTCATGGTAGGTCATGGTATGGTAGGTTTGGTAGGTATAGTAGGTCATGTAGGTTGTGGTAGGTTTGGTTGGTTGTGGTAGGATATGGTAGATTATAGTAGGTCATGGTAGGTTATGGTAGGTTGTGGTAGGTTTTTTGGTAGGTTATAGTAGGTCATGGTAGGTCAGGTTTTGGTAGGTTATTAGGTGGTAGGTTATGGTAGGTTATGGTTGGTTGTGGTAGGATATGGTAGATTATGGTTATGGTAGGTTGTGGTAGGTTTGGTAGTATAGTAGGTCATGGTAGGTCATGGTAGGTTATGGTAGGTTGTGGTAGTTTTGGTATGGTTATAGTAGGTCATGGTAGGTTGTGGTAGTTATGGTTAGGTTGTGGTAGGATATGGTAGATTATAGGTAGGTCATGGTAGTTATGGTAGGTTGTGGTAGGTTTTGGTAGGTTATAGTAGGTCATGGTAGGTTGTGGTAGGTTATGGTTGGTTGTGGTAGGATATGGTAGATTATAGTAGGTCATGGTAGGTTATGGTAGGTTGTGGTAGGTTTTAGTAGGTTATAGTAGGTCATGGTAGGTCATGGTAGGTTGTGGTATGGTAGGTTAGTAGGTCATGGTAGGTTGTGGTAGGTTATGGTTGGTTGTGGTAGGTATGGTAGTTATAGTAGGTCATGGTAGGTTATGGTAGGTTGTGGTAGGTTTTGGTAGGTTATAGTAGGTCATGGTAGGTCATGGTAGGTTATGGTAGGTTGTGGTAGGTTTTGGTAGGTTATAGTAGGTCATGGTAGGTTGTGGTAGGTTATGGTTGGTTGTGGTAGGATATGGTAGATTATAGTAGGTCATGGTAGGTTATGGTAGGTGTGTAGGTTTTGGTAGGTTATAGTAGGTCATGGTAGGTCATGGTAGGTTATGGTAGGTTGTGGTAGGTTTTGGTAGGTTATAGTAGGTTATGGTAGGTTGGGGTAGGTTATGGTTGGTTGTGGTAGGATATGGTAGATTATAGTAGGTTCATGGTAGGTTATGGTAGGTTGGTTAAGGTTTTTGGTAGGTTGTGGTAGGATATGGTAGTAGTAGTCATGGTAGGTTATGGTAGGTTGTGGTAGGTTATGGTGGTTGTGGTAGGATATGGTAGTATAGGGGTATGGGTAGGTTATGGTAGGTTGTGGTAGGTTTTGGTAGGTTATAGTAGGTCATGGTAGGTTGTGGTAGGTATGGTTGGTTGTGGTAGGTGGTAGGTTATAGTAGGTCATGGT